CAACATCAAATACATGCGGTTAACAGTGACTAAGCCTTTGAATGCATACAGGTATTGCTTAATCTATACATACTGTACACCTACACGTACAGTACATACAGTATCTACATACTGTAAAGTCTTTTTTGTAGTCTAGAGTCAAATTTAATAGCTTGTGAAAATTCTATCTTTATATATTACTACCATTTATTACATATGTATAACCACTCCTTATTCTGTACTCAGTGTTGTTTCCTGGAACAAGGATGATAAAGTGCTGAATTAAATGTAAAGGGACAGGTGCATGATTTTCAAAATGTGAAAGCCCTGTTCCTCTTACATAATTTATAATGCATTAAGGATGTTTGTCTTCATAAGCGCACTACAGCTTTAATTATCAAAATATAACCAGTGACTGGCTTGATTCCATCCCGTTGTCATGGCAAAGAAGATTTCCCTGTATGGTAGTTTCACAGTGGACTAGATTGTACTGAACCATGCAGCTGTTTCATGTAGAGTAGTATGCTAAAAGCTATATTCACACTCCTCACTATCACTATATACAGTATATATAACATGAATATAAGACCCATTGGGTGATCCATTCCTTACTTTTTCTGTAGTGGCTTGGCAAATATTAGAGCAAGCAAACTTCAGTTATGTACAATTATGTGCATTTGATGTCCATGGAAAACTATGTTCCTTGTTTGTTTGTTGACCAAGAACAAATTTGATTCTCCTTCCAAATAAACAGGACAGTCTTCTTTCAATAGCACAGTCCTTAAACAATAGAACAGCTCTCTGCAAAAAATGTGGATTTATACTAATATAGTACAGTAGAATATGCAATGTGATACAATAGTATCATACTGTAACACATACAAAACAATGTGATGTTTTGTTGCTCTTTTTTACACAATAATTAAGAATTCAAAAAGGAATGAATGTTTACCAAGAAAATCCCAAGTTAAAATTTCAGAGTTGGACTTTAGAGTTTATATTTTTTATATTTTTTCTTTCTCTCAGGGATCCAGAATAACATGAAATTTATATACAGTACTGCATGTAAATTCTGTGTTTCAGCCCATCCATCTGCCTCAAAGCACACATTAGAAAACATCCATGTGGAAAATTCTATGTGAATGGATGAATTGAAACGAATTATCTTTACTTTCTTACAAGTATCGAGATTGTTTACAGCATAATAATCACCTACAAATATCCCACAATGTATCACAAAACAGATAGCTTAACCACTATGGTTTTACAAAATTCTGTGTGGAAGCAACACTCAAATATACTCTGAAAGGCAACCAACCATAGTCATGGCATTCCATCAATAAGTGAGGTTTCTGTAGAAACTAAAAAATTGTTTCAGTGCTTTTGTGATTAACTCAAAAGAGTAACTGTTATAATGCTTTCAGTAAGAGTTATCTGCTTCAGCTGGGGTATAAATATTACATGGATTTCCAAGGGATTATACCATAAAAATGGCACTGCTGCTATGTTAAACATTAATTTCACCATATAGATAAGGCAGTTGCTATGGTAAGGCTATTAATATTGCAAAAGTTACTTCCTGAATTCATGATGCCAAAGAGTTTCACTTGAGGATAAGGCACATTGCTGTGTCTGAAGTCAGCATGTTTTAAGTGATCAGGTTGACTACCGTACATTGAGATCACATTTTAAAGGATTTACCTGAAACACAACATGTATAATGTGTAAAGACCTTTAGGAGTTTCCCTTCTACAGGATCGACGGCATGTGAACAGGGCCAGCTGTGTGAAGCATATGTTTGATTATGAATATGCTTCAAAAAGTGCTGTTTGTTTAGGATGTTAAGAAACCAGAAGAAAGAGTGTGTGAAAGTTTTATTTCCTATATTCTCCTGGTATATATTTTAAAGATAAATGCAGCTGTCTTCATTTACGTTTGGAACAAAATTAATTGCTGACTATTGATGTCTGATATATATTTTATCTCATATCAATTTAAATATATTTAAAAAGAAACACTAAAATACAGCAGTTGGATTGAGGCTCAATACTGTATATAGTAGACACTACAAAGAGGACAAAGTAACAGTATTTGGTGAAAAATAAGTTAATTTGTGCTGACATACCATTTTAAAATCTTAGTTCACAATTAACATAATAATAGAACAAACTTTTAGAAGGACCTATGCAAGCAATTCTCAAAGGTATACAGAAGAAAAGCATGTCCTTTGTAGAAAAAAATACAGGACAGATGTTTTATGTTTCTGTGATTGAATCAGATGGTAAGGAAAAAGTCATAGTATTTGTTAGTGTCAGGGAACCTATAGGTAGAATTTAAGGATCCTATAGGTTCCCTGACAGTTAGATTATATCAATACTATCACAGTACAGTTTAATTGATGGTGTGCCAATACAGGCTCAAAAGGACTGTTCCAAAACATGACAAGAGGTTTTATAAGCTGACATCAAGATTTTGGACAGGTAATTGCTCATTTCATTATTCTAAATTTACTCCTGACAGCTGTGGTTGCATAGTAAAGCATGTAATCAAAGCAGACATAAGGCCCATAACCACACAGTTCTGTCAATCTAGACAGATGAGTTTTCTCACAATACACTGTAATGTCCGTTTTAATGCATTATATACATAACACATGTGCATATCATCTGAAGGACAGGTCTATACTTTGAAATCTCCCTAAGGAGAAACACAACTAAAGACAGCTAGATCACTTTTCTGCCTGTGGTCAGTTATCCCATCTCCTATTTCACACATCCATCCATTTAAGTAATTGCTTTATCATTAGAGGGTCTCAGTGAATCAGAGCCTAGCTTGGCAGACACAGGGCACCAGGTAGAACTACACTCAGGATGGCATTGCAGTCCATCAGTCCATTACTGGGCACACATCAACACATGTTCACAAGCTCATGCATATACAGTGGGTTGGATGTCGCAATTTTGTCATTTAAAGATGCCATTTAAGATGGGAAGCATGTTTTTAGGCTGTGGGAGGAAACCAGCATGGACCAAGGTACAGCAGAACACATAAACTACCCATTGAATGCAACCCACTTCAGAAATGAGACAGAAAACAAGAGCTGAGAGGTAGCAGCACGCACAAGACCAGCATGCGACTATACCACCCTTTAAATTCCACTGAAGTCAAAATCAGAGGAATTCTATCAAGGGAATGACTAATGTAGTCTGAAGCTTGCAAACCCTCATTCTCCACCCCCACCCCTGTCCCAAAAAATCCTATTTAAATGCCAGATTAAAATTAAGGTCAGCTCCTGGTCAATGAGTCCTTGCTCTCTGCTAATTTAGTTATTTTTTTTACACGCTTTCCTTCTTTTACTCTGAATGGCATGATAACTCCTAAGCAAGGTGTCTTCTAAACAATTAAAAAAGAAAAGCTTAAATGACAGAGGAAATATGGAAGTGTGGACTCATCAGTCTAAATAGTTCCTTTTTCCTTATTTCTCTGCCTTTTTTTTTGCTTCATTTTAGGACTGTGTAGGTTTTGTCTAATTTGCTGCCCAAAATGAACCTTAACCTCATCTGGTTTTGTAAGGGAATTGCAGATCTCAGGTTCTTCAATTCTCAGTGCTCCATAATTGGGTAAAATCTGCCACACAATTATGTTTACCGTCAGAAGGAAAATAACCCAAATGGCAGGTGGCTTTGTTGAAAGCAAATGAGATGGGATAACAAGATTTTAGTGTTGAAAAATAAATATATTTTTCTTAGGCACTTCAGTTGTGGCTGCTTCCACAGTTTTGTTCCAAACCTAAATTAAGACTGCTGCATTTATATATACAGTATACTGTATACTGTATATGTATTATGGGGGAGCAGAGGACTAGATAATCCTCACCAAAAGCCAGGGGAGAGCAAGAATGGTTTGAATGCACTGCACTCTGCAATTTTTTGCATCTAAAAAGCTACATTTATCTTTCGATACTGGATGGAGGTGTAATGGGTAAGGTCTGTGGACTGCTATCAGTACAACACTTGAGTGAGTACTCTTACAATACCACTATGGGTGAATGAACAGTACTTCTCCAGGCTGTACAAAATAAGAAACTATTTTTTTGCCGAACTGAATTGCCTCCATTTACACCAGAAAAGAGAACTAGTACTGTTTTTTCTTTGTGAAAAAGAAAAAGAGTGCATTCATAATTTTATTCATTTTTAGATATCAGGGCACTGTCTTACATAGCCTGTGTTTCTTTTGGTGTCCATTTACTTTTCATTGAAATGTTAATTCTAATATGGATGAATAACATGAATAAAGCAAGCCAAGCATTGATCCAAATGCTTTCTTTCCCTGGGGAGAATATGTGGAGAAATATCTGGAGTCTAATTGAGCTAAGTTTACTAGATTAGACTGTGCTCTCGTACATCATTTTTGAATTTCTTTCAGTATTTTTTATAAGCTAGTTAGCTTAGTTTTTACTGTGGGTTTCCATGCTAGAAAAATAAGATAAATAATGTTAAAAAAATAATGTTAGAAGACATTTTGCTGTCCAGTTCATCGCATTGATCTAATTTCTAGCAGGTTCATGAATTGATTTTTTAACCACCTTTTCAGAAGATATCCCTTCAAGAAAATGAGTTCTTAAAGGAATTTACCAATCTAAAAATAACACCGTAGGGGGAGGAGTAAAAATAAAACAAGGCCTTCTCATAAATCATTCATGACAATGTGTACAGTCTACGTGTATAAGAAGGAAGACAAATTAAGTTTGCGGTTTTTCATTCATAATTTAATAGCAGGACTTTTACTGTATATAGGGTATCATTTTTTTCATGGACTTGTACAGCACTGTATGTATTTTATATTGGCACAATATTCCTGAAACACAAAGAATCATCATAGAGAAATGTACTCTGTTCCCACCTGGCTGGATTGAGTATTCAGGTATTTCAGGCCCCTCCTTCTCCTGCTCTGTGCTGCAGGCGGTAGTCAGGTGAAAGCTTCCAAACCCAACTGTTCTCTCTCGCGTTTTCCCCCCAGCCCTTCTGAAGCGGACACACAGCGTTGAGTGTCTGTTACTGCATATTGGGTTTCTAAGTGCTTGCGCTCTGGAGTTGTCTCCGAGTGCTCGCTTGGCAGTCTCCTGCTGGTCCTCCACTCTCTTTTATCTAGTTGTTCCGTGGTTTTCACAGGAAGTTACACGGTTTCGTCGGCAGCTGCGGTTTTCCTACCCAAAGTTGGTGTTGTTTCGCGGCGGCATGACCATTTCTCTATGAATGACCGTGAGACAGTAAAAGGTAAGAGCGCCTTGTTACTTCTCTTCCATACCAAGCGAACGCTCGCTTTTCGTGTGATTCAGGGGACACTGTTATTTTAACTGCAAAGAGTTGATGGGAAGCTAGCATTACAGGCACACTTTGGGGTTTGAAAGGGTTGCTTTGAATTTATTAAGCTACTTTAATTGTGATTTAAAGGGAAAGTAATGATGTAAACGTGCCTTTTATTCTTTCATCCTCGCTGTTACGACTTACCTATTACATGAATGCATGGAAAGTATTTTACGTTTATTGAAGTTGAGAATGTTCAGACCATACTACAGTATGTATGCTTGAAAACATAATATGAAATTAGCTTTGGTCTTGAGATTTTGCAACTTTTAATTTTGACGGCACACGTGGGTATTTCACAACAGTATGGGAGGTCTGAAATACTGTAAATTATTTTGACTTCTCAAGTTTAAGAGACCGTAAGCTATGTACAGTATGTACTGGAACACCTGTTTGTTTTGTATCACTCATGTACTGTAGTACGCGTTTCAGTAGCGATATACTGGTTTCAGTGGATGATAGACCAAACGCTATCATGCAGCTTCTATTATTTATTTATTTTAAGAACTGATAACACGTTTCCTGTCAATGGGGGAATAACACAATGTATGTCAATCAGATTTGTGCCGTAAGCTACAGTACGTCGCCTGCTGTTTTTTTCATAAATGCGAGGAATTATTTCCTCAGCAACGTTATGATGGCGTGTCTGTGAGGTTGTCATCTCTAATGTGTGAAGTGAATATATCTCATAAGCCACATATATTTAACATATACAATGTATTATGACCCCCTGGTTATTTAGCTAACGCTTACGTTTTAAGTTTATTACTTTTACATTTTTGCTATTTATACAGCAAGGCATTTTAATTGAATGCCTTGAACGAAGCACTGCTCTTGAGCACAGCATCAGACCCCAGCCGGGAAATAAACCCACAACTGTTTCATTCCAGAGCCCCAACCAGTCCTCCACACTGCTGCCCGAATACATAAAACTAGTGGTGTGAAACCACCCATTCCTATCTTCATGTACAGTTTGTTTCCGGAAATATACAGTACGTCTGTAAAATTGTAAGTTGTTGTAACGGTTTATTATCCCGATTATATCGCTGCCGCTGACAGGTTTCATTTATTTCTTTGGCATTAGATTTGTTTTAGCAGATAGAAATCCGCCGGAGGTCTGTGCCGCTTTTCGAATAAGTTCTTAATCACTTGTTGAGCCTAAATTGGTGCGCTTAGTGAATGCGCAACTGACTGCTACTGTACATTTATGACTATAAAATGAACATTTTTATTTGTTTTCTCTTAGCGCACATTGTTTCCATCCGGTGACATCTTTGCTTTAACAGTCATATGACCAAATAGATTTTTCTACCTAAAAGCGGGATAGGAAAGTTTTTCTTTCCTGCTGCCTGTGTTTGCTTGCCACCAAAGTTCATATCATAATTCATCGTGGTTTTTATTCAACCTGAAAATACCATTAAGGCCGTTTCTTTTCTTAACGGTGCTTAGTTGCTGTTCGCAGGCATACTGCACATTATTTGCTAGGTTTGCTTTTACCCTCATGAATAAGAGTGTGCCAAGCCTGACTCAAATGGTCAGTGCAGATACAATTTTGCATCTCTGATATATGCTGATGTTCATCTGATATTTAATGAAATTTCAGACACTTGCCAGTAAACCACATATGCATTTATATTGGTGATATCTCATACTGTGTGCCTTTTGGGTGAGGGTGTTCATAAATGTGTGAAGATTGATACCAATTCATAAGCTTCAGAGCATGTGAAATTTTAATATCACTCTTCAAATCCTAAGCCATCCCTGTTTTCTTTCCTTACTGTGTCCTAATTGGGTTGTTTCCTTATTTGAGATATTGTATGCAAATCTTACAGCTTTTCCTGAATGCAGCAGCTCTTTCAGATCTAATATACAGTAGGTCTTATGGGAACATGAGACAGTATGTCTTAAGAATGTTTGAGGGATGTCATATACTGTACAATATTAGTAATGCATCTCCTGCATTACTATTCATGGAAGGGGGAAAGGGGACTCTATCCCCCCCTTAGATGAATTAGTTAAGTTCTTTGTATGAGAAGGCAAATACATGTTCCCTTTTATGCCATGTATCATGTCACATTTCCATTTATATCCAGCTGTGCCTATTTAGTGTCTTTTTTGCTGCTCGAATTTCATACGTAATTGAAGTAGTTATTTGAAGACCTACTTTTAAAATTGCATTAACAGTTTGAGGTTCCTGATCAACACGGGTACCTCTAAGAGTTCAAGTGCACATATTTTGGGAAAGTTAGTTTTAAAACACTTAAGTGTTCTTTATTCGTCTTGCATGGTGTCATACAATTCTGCTTAGATTGTTTGCATTATGTACAGTACAGTGCATTTGTTATTGCTGCTCAGCATCATTGCTCTGTATTTTAGGAAATAAGTTACACTTTATATTTCTGTTGATGCAGTTTATCCCAAAAAGGCAAAAATCTGCAAACATGATGATTACTATTAGTTCTGTTATTATTAAATTAGTACAATTCTTTCAGCCTAGATAATGATAAGGAGCACAGAGCAGATAAGAGCCCTTCTAACTATGAAATGTGCAAGATAGAATTGGGTGAGCTATTGTGTAATATTGGCTTCTTTGTAAATGCTAGGGGCACACGATGACGCAGTATTTAGTATTGCTGCCTCACAGCGCTGGGGCCCTGGATTCAGTTTGGGACCTAGGGTGCTATCCGTGTGGAGTTTGTATGTTCTCCCCCCGATTTTCCTCTGGGTGCTCTGGTTTCCTCCCACAATCCAAAGACATACTGGTAAGTAAATTGCCTTCTAAGGAAATTGGCCCTGGGTGTGTGCATGTGTGTGTCTATGTGTCTGCCCTGCCAGTGGACTGGTGTCCCATCCATAGTGTATCATGCCTTGTGCCTGTTGCTTGCCAAGATAGGCTCTGAGTCCCCCATAGCCCTAAGCTGGAAGACGTGTTAGAAAATGTATTGTACTTATTATAGATTACCTGGACTTTTTAATTAAACAGCTTTTGTGAGAAGCACTTCCACTGAAAAACAGATTTTGAACATACTGCTCATTATATACTGTACATAATATAATATAGTTCAGGTGGCTACAGTAGGTGCGTCAGCATGCGTAGGCTGCAAAGGAGCAAGTAATAGGTTTATTCAATGCTGAAAAGAGAAGAAAGAAAACACAACGTTTCGGCTGTGGAGCCTTCTTTGGGTGTGCATGGGTGTTTTCTTTCTTCTCTTTTCAGCATGGAAGAAACCTATTACTTGTTCCATAATGTAATATATTTTTTTGGGGATGAATTGACTTGCCATGCAAATGAAATAAATCTGTCTGCAATTTGTTTGGTGACAAGTTTTCTAAATTATTTTTTTAGTTGTGAACATTGTGTAGGAATGGATTTGCACTGTCAATGTTTTGTTTATTTGTTCCACAACATACCATTTCAGTTCATTGATGCGATAATTTTTAAATATATTTTAGTCCACTTTGTTATATAATCATATGTTTTCAGAGTCATAAAGGCATGTAATTAAATCTCAGAATTAGTGTAAGCTTAGTCATTGAAGTCTTTTGGAATTATTCCACTATATACAAAGTTGTGGTAAGGCTTACGAAATCATTGAGACACAAGGATTAGGATTTTCTGGTTAAGTACTGTAGCGTTCACAGTGACTCATGAGTTAGAAAATGTGACACTTGCTTGATTATTCTTGCTGGTAACATTGACCCATATTTCCTGTTATGACAACTGTTAAACTCTTGTGCTATCACTTCAGTAAACAATTTCATTGTTCTATTCTGCATTCATTCCTTACTGTTCAACTTTTAAGTGCTGTGAAATTCAACACTGGTACAGTACCTCACTGCTCCAGTGTCCTGGGTCCAATGCATCCCACTGACTTTGTGGAGACTATACTGTATGTTTTCCTCATGTTCATATGGGTTTTTTTTTCTTGCTAATCTGGGTTCCCCTTACTTCCAATAGATAGATATATTGGCTAGAATTCAGTGGTCGTTCTTACTTGTCCCTTTTTCTCTTACCCTGTAATGGACCTATCCTGTCGAAGGACTGAGCAGTCATGTTATTTCAGTCTTGCTTAGTCCATGCAGCCAGACAAGGAGAAAAAAGACTTACAGATAATGCAAGCATAGATATCTTTTAAGTTTGCCTGCAGTGATCAAATCAAAATGTTTTTGATATTTTCTTTTCTGAAATTAGCTATTTAAAGGAATATGTGTTGGATAAAATAGCTACTCCATTAAACTGTTCATTGATTATTTTTGTACCTATAGCATAGAGTTCTTTTGTTGTAGAAAATGTACACTGTAGAAACAGAATTGCTTTTCTGTACAGTAAAACACAAAAGATGCAGAAATCAGATGTGACCTTATACACTTTTTGTTTTATATATCATATTGTTCCTATAGGTAGTAAGAGTGAATTAGATTATTTTGTAGTTAAATTAAAATAGCTAAAACATTTTAATAACAGTTGTTTGGTTAAACAAATATAAATGCTCTTGTGCTTGTTGGTTATTTCCCTTTAACCTGTAGTATTACTGTATCTCTAATGTTCCCCAGTTTTTCTACTTAATGTAGTTTTTCAGGTCTTCAGTCCATGGGATCACCCTAATAACATGTAGCTGCAACTTTATATATATATAATTTAAAAGGTCCTATATTTATGACATTGAATATGTGAAGAAATTAGATTGATCAACTAAGAAGTTCAAGAAATCCAAAGATTCCCATTGGTATAATCACATCCTGCAGTCAGATCACCACAGAGGTCATGCGAGTTAAACTGAGATTTACCTTACATTCTCTGACTTGTATGAAATCAATATGATGTTTATTCTAGAGAAATGAATTTCAGTGGCAATTGTTTATGTTTACCACACATAAGCCTGTCTCCACTATAATATATGCAGATTGGC